TCTATGTATCTAGGGATAGAAGATAAAGCAATACAAAATAAGACTACAAAAAAATGTTTAGTAGGCCGGCCCGAGGCCCACTCAGGAGGGTGCGGTGCTGATAACACCAAGACCATGGGTTCGGATCCTATATAGGGATGGCCGGTTTGCTCACTGGCTGAGCGTGGTGCTGACAACACCAAGCCAAGGGTTGAGATCCCCTTACCGGTCATCTTTAAAAAAAAAAAAAAAAAAAAAAATGTTTAGTGCCTACTGCAGGGACACAGGCTTTGGAAGATGCTACAGCTACATAAGGAAAAAGCAGCAGAAAAGAGGGCCTTGAACTTTGTGGAATGCTTTGATCCAGCAATGCCATCCTGCGGGCTGTGTGCTCTGAGTGATGCTACAGGCCAGAAGTTCTTACGTGCACCCGGGTTCTTATGAAATGAATAAAAACGCCTTCTATGTATACGTGTTTCTTTAAAAAATATGTTGATTCTATTGCTATGCATTTTCAAAGGGTAGTTTTTCTTTCCTTAGGTATTCTCTCACATAACAGACACTGAATGTATAGCCACCATCTTATGACCGTGTCACAAAATTGTGATGTTAAAAGGGGGTCCTCAGGCTCATTCTGTAATTAAACATCTTGTCAATGTCCCCTTTCCTAAGACTTTTCTCTAAACATGCTCTTCTCTCGTCAGTATCACTGTTTCTCAGGTCATCTCCACGTCCTTTCCCTGGTCTCCTGGGCTCTGTGATGGACAGGGGACGGTCTGCAGTGTCCTTCTTCCCCTCCCATCAGAGCCAGGCAGCGGACCCCTCAGCCGTGGGACCCCGGCATGCTTGAAAATCAAGGTGCAGCAATTTCAGGAAGAGACAAAGACTGATAGGAGACGAAGAAGAGCAGAAAGATACTCCACGAAATGGGAGAAAAGTGTTTTTATGGCTGGTGTCCTGTAAACACTGCAACTCATTACCAAGGTCAGCACGACAAACGTGGCCTTTACCTTCCGCGTTTTGTGTGGGTTCCTCATTCTGGACGATTTCTTAATGTCCACTTCAGTAGTATTTACACATCCAGGCTGGAATTAGAAAAACAGAGAGAGAAAGGAAGCTTTGGGGGAGAAGGTTCTGACCGGTGCATTCAGGAATGACTTGCTCTCCAGAGCCTGCACAAATGCCACGCTGACACTCGTCACCGGCAGCGCCTCCCAGATGGCCACAGCCAAGTCCATCAGCAGTGGAAGTAATAAAACACATCGTGCCCTTTAACTCATCACATTTAGAAGCCTTCAGATATTGCTCTCAAGTAACTCCCAGAGAACCAGGAAAAAGAAATACATGGGATTTGCATGTGAGAGTGGGTGCTGATATTTACAGCTGCCAGCCCAAAGGACCCAGCAAGGGTGTCTGTACAGACGTGAATGGGGTGACACCGCCTGCTGATGTCTGCACACAGCCTCCTGCAGGATGTGCCTTCTTTATATAAGATGACACAGTTATTAGGTGGCTGCTTGCTTTCCCCGAATTGGAAAACCAAAATGACATTCAGCTGAGCCAGCTCAAATCCCAGAGTCCTGTTACAGTGACTATGAAATCCAGTGCCTGGGAATATTTGTGTTCCATAGGGGGTGGTGCAGTGGAGTTATGGTTAAAATGAGGAAGATGAAGAAAGAAAATGGTAATCAATATATTATGCTCCTTCCCAGGACCTCCCAACATTCCTTTTCCTTTCCCGCAAGCAGGTGAATCCATTTACAACAGGGGTGTTGGGGGAAGAGTCTGGGCAGCCAGGGGCTGGCTTTCCGACAACCTCAGGAGCCTCGTAGTTTGCCAGAATTATTGTTCTGTTGCACAGAGACAAACAGCTGTAAGGAGGGAGAGAATGACTCAGGACACAGAGGAGAAAAGAAATACAAAAGCACGTGGGATCTTAGACCTCGAAAGGACCTTAGTGATCAGTTACCCTTTAGAAGTCATAGAAGCGCATGGGTGCATGAATTGTTTTTCCTTTACTTTCAAGTTTTTGGTACAGGACTAAGAGAGATCTCTGGTAAACAGCAAGTTGTATATCTCCGCTCAATTTTTCTATTCTCGTAGATTGCAAGAAAATTAAAGCGTCGGATGTCCTTGAAAGTGACGTGGGAGAAACTATAAATGTGGAAAAGTCTTTTATGGAGCTGGGGGATGGACAGAAAGGCAGTGCTGCTGGGATCACAGGAATCAACTGCCACTGGCAAGCCATGGGGATTAGCACCTTGTGTAATGAGGACATAGGACGTTTTCCTTAAAAAACCCTCTCCTGATAGCACAGGCATCGCCCCCAAACTCCACCATAATACTGTAGCGGATAAGGACGCAAATGAGGAAAACAGTTTTCTTGATTGTTTTTTCCTATGAAGGTTACATGTGAAACACACACACACATTGATTGCACTCTAAACATTAAATCAATTATAAAAGTGTGCTTTGCATATCTACTCAGGAGCAGAAATACCTTGCTTGGCAGTGATCAGGGTGGCCGTGCAGGAGCAGGGAAAAGCACCCACCTCGGGAGGACAGGAGGGGACTTGGTTACTAAGGGACACTGAGCAATTCACCCAAACTCTCCAGCATCAGCTTGCTCAGTATCCGATGTTCTGATTTAATTTTTCTGCGATCTGTCTAGACAGTAATGTTTTTAAAAAGACCTCCCATGATTTTTAATATGCAGACAGGGTTCACAACCATTGACCTAGATGTAACAGAGATGATGTTTTGAAAATATGAAAGCATCATGTTTTCATTTTCTATTCAGTTTCTATTTCCTTGCAGCCTTTTATCCCCAAGCCTGAGCCATTAGAGAAGAGAGGCACTGGAGTTCTTTAAAGTCCTAACAAACATCAAAAGGCACACATAGGAAGACAGGCCTTGGCTATTTTCTTCTACATGCTAAAGGGTGGGAACAATCAGGATTTGACATTCAAAAAGGAAGGGCCTGTCCCTTTATGACCTGGAGGAAAAGAGAGATAAAGGGCAGAGCTCAGCAGGTGCCTCATTTTTCTCCCTTGGGAAGAAACCCTAAGAAGGTGGGGTGGCAGAGAGTGACAGAAACACCCAGACAAGTATGAAGGCATCTGCGAGGCAGCCAGTCCCATGCCCTGGACTTCTGATCACATCCAACATAAATCTTTAATACCAGGTGGGTGTTAACAAGAAAGATGAGCCTAAGATGACACTTCCCGAGGCTCACATGCAGCAGGCGAGTCATCCAGAGTTTGATGCATTCCCAGTAACAAAGGACACAGAGGTTCCAAGAAGACTAGTAGGTGGACGGGAGCCTGAGGTTGTAACAGAGGCCACAGTGCACAGGGATTTTATTCTGAGAGCAAATGTCTAGAATGAAAAATCCGGCAGTGAGTTCCAGATGATGAGCATGTGCCTGGTGGAGCAGCCCCGGGAGCAGACTGCACCATCATGTCTAAAGCAGAGATCAAGGATCTGGAATATGTACCATGGATGCTTGGCCCTCATCCGCCACCGCATGAGACTGTATGACCCAAACCTCTATACCCCAAGCTGCTATCCAAAAGTAATCTTGGATCGTGGCAGGGAAAGGCTGAGGAAAACTGAAAGTGTGATCATTTATCCAAAAGCAACTGAGCTATCTAAACCAACAATTTAATTGCAGCAACACACAGAGCATGCACATGGAAAACTATCCTTCAAGTAGGTTTCTCAGAAAAATAGATCAATTGTAAAAAATGCGGAAATTGTATTTTCCTTACACATCTGAGGAGTCTGAAAAAATTGAAATCTAAAACTCCTTCTGTAATAAACTACGATTCTAAATCAATTTTATTTCATACCAGGTGGGCTAATTAGCAAATGACCTCCGAATCTATGTCAGCCACTGAAGGCACAAAGTAGAAAGATCCCCTGAGCCCCATAGGAATGTATCTGATTGACAGTCCCAAAGAGAATTACAATTTTCCTCCCCAAATTTTAAAATCATGGCCTTTTAAAATGTGATTAATGAACCATTTGCAGACAAAATTTCCACTTGAGCCGCTTATTAACACCACTAATCATCAAATTAAAACGAAAGCACTGATTTTAAAAGCAAACATTATTAGAGACTGAACCATAAGACATATTTTATAACCCCGCTCCCATCTTAGGAAAATAAAATCTGCCAGTTCAAAGTTTCTTGCTAATGGCTAAATGGTTAAACTAATAAACTGGGTCTGGGATGCTTGTTTCAGAGGACCACTAGCCTCCTGTAATTTCTAACGAGCCTCTTGGGACAGCTAGTGGTTAAACAAATAAGACCTATGATATTTAAGTTAACTAGGGTATTCTCGAATATTAAGAAAGCATAGATGCCCAAAATTGTTTAGTATACGTCTGAATAATTAAGGTCATGACCTAGTGCTGATAACCCCTGAATAACTGCTTTCTGAAGTTACGCACTGTGGTTAATGAAATATGGCAATACTTTTTAAAAAAAATTATTTTATTGATTCAGGAAGTATTTCTTTCTGCATAGAATCATCAGGTCTTGTGGTCTGAATAATTAAGGTCATGACCTAGTGCTGATAACCCCTGAATAACTGCTTTCTGAAGTTAGGCACTGTGGTTAATGAAATATGGCAATACTTTTTTAAAAAAATTATTTTATTGATTCAGGAAGTATTTCTTTCTGCATAGAATCATCAGGTCTTGTGATAAATAGTGAGATACAGAAAGGAAGCCATAATCTATACCTTGATAGCTTCCTAATACAAAGTACTATGAAGACAACAGACACAGGAATAATCACAACACGGTAGCACGCTGACATGGGGCTTCATGCAACAATAGAACATTCTAGACATCCATTCTCATGCACACTCTGTTGGTTCTCCACAACACGGCAGGTAAATATCTTTAAAATTTTATTTTCAAATGATGTTTTATCCCATAAGTCTATGATGTCCCTGATTATCAAAATAAAAAGGCAATTATCTCTTTGAAGCAAATATAATAGGCACCACTAGCTGGCACCAGATCCACAGGAACTGTAAGGAGTGAATCGGTTTCCTGCAGAAACTGAGCATATCTTCTTAGTAAGATATAAATAACAGCATTACCATGTAGGCACTCCATAAAAATATTTAAATATGTACTATTTGCTGAGTACAGTATTAAGTACATAGTATTGTTAGATTTAAGGAATAATAAAGTGCTATTTACATTGGCATAGAAGAGAAATAGGAGTTCTTTCCAGTGATTCGAAGGTGAATTTATTTTCAACAGAACTAAGCTGCATTGTAACGTTATGATGATATTAGTTATTAGAAAGTAGAATTTAAGATTATGGGGCCTATTCCTGAAGGAGCCAAAGGAGTATGTTATTGAGAAATACTACTGCATAGTGTTCGTGTAAGTGTCTTCAGGAGGGGCAAGACAGAAGCCGGAATTCTTGCCTTCATTATTGCTATTTTATTTAAGGGAATCTAAATACCATTTAGTTCCTTTCATGGCATGATGCATTTTTGTCAATTGTAGCAGACGGCATACTTGTGTTCAGGACAACCTGGGAAAACTTATAGCAACGAGCCCAGAAATTCAGTCACTGCAGCGGATACGTAATAGGGCAAACGTATCCTAAATGACATGTGGGTGGAGGCTTAAGACCAGAGTGGCAGAGAGAGCTGATAGTAAGAGAATACCCTGGCATTTTTTTTTTTTAAAATCTGATTCTGAGAAAATTAAGGTTACATATGTATATGTATATGTAATTATTGGTTCATCAGGATTAAATCAATAAAAAAGATTTACCTCTTTGTAACAGCACAGATTTTAAAAATCCAATGTGCGATGTATTGTACCTCAATGAAATGATCCCTGTTCTTACACAAAATGATTACGGATTTTAGTGTTCAATCTCAGGATGTTTCGTTTTTAAGATGCAATTCAAGCCTTTCTCTGTGTTCTTGGGTAGCTGCCAATGGATTCAGCCTCTGATCCTTTCAGCCTTCATGATCCATTCACTTGCTGAGTCCTACACACAAACTGAAGGAAGTCGTTTGAGGAAATTACCCTGGAACTTCTTCCATTC